AAAATTGCCCATTTCCAATTTCATACTTTCTCTAAGAGAAATGGTCGACTTGTATAATGCAAGTAGTCATGTAGTCTCCATATTGTCTCCAACATCCATATGACTAATAGATGGTTGAGATACGTAGTTCATAGTCCTCCAATTGATAATTGTGGAGGAAGTTTTGATTCGGCCGCTTTGTTATTGGACCGACATTACTTAGTATATGAACATTAGCTTCTAATCATGGTTATAAACTTGTCATTTCCCCATAAAGAGCGTATGCTATCCAAATTTTTTTTTTATGATACATAAAGGTCATAATCATCCCAGATATCAGATATGGAATTTGGAGCATAAAGGTTTTTAGAATTTTATTTTGGACATTGAGCCTAACCACCTTTTTTACATCCAACAACCAAAAGTGAATGTGACCTGGTGCGACTATATATCTTTCTTATCTATAAAATTTTGCAAATTCTAGTTTAATACACACCCAAATTTCCTTAATTTCATAGGTTCTACACCAGTATGAATTAAGCCATTTTGACATGTTCCAAATGATATGCAAAAACTTACATTATTTGATTAATGTCTCTTGCAAGTTCGAAAAGAGGTGGCAATATCTCTATATGCTTTTGTCTTCCTTCTAGTTGCTGCCCTCTCTTAAACGAAGGGTGGCCCTTTCTATCTGCTCTGAAGAGGCTCTCTCTCTCACACACATTCATTCATTCATTCATCACCGAAGGCCAATTTTTTTGGTCACAGGTTTCATGAATTATCAGAGTTTGATGAAGCAAAGAGGAGTTGCCGTAGGCGCCTTGCAGGCCATAATGAGCGACGTAGGAAGACACCGTCGACAGAGGGAGGAGTGAATGGCCGAAGGGGAGGAGCCGTGGCCATCGCCATCGATCATAATCACCAACTCAAAGATAATAGTAACATTTGTAGACACAACACAACCGATCAAGTTGCTACTGCAGCTGCTGCTACAAGGATGCAGATAAACCCCTTGCAACCAAACCCTACTTCTTCCTACAAGCATTTCCAGATCAGATAAGGATGCTACTGCCTTCTATATCTCTCAAATCAATTATGCTCTCTCTCTTCTGTCATGAGATATTCTACCACTATTTATGTGGCATTGGGATCTTCTTCAAACCCTTCTTGATGCCTGCATCTTCTTATTTTAAGGCTTGCCTGAGATGAAGTGCTCTAAGATGAAGAGCTCTATCTCCCTCACTCTCTCTATCTATATATATATATATATCTCTATTGAGCTACAACTTCTCCATTGGGTGCTTTAATATCAACAAGAGAGATTAAAACTACCTTCAACCTTTTAATATTTCCTGTGTGTGTGCGTTCGCATGTATGTGATCATGCATTGTTCTTTGGAATGGATAGATCAAAGTACTGCTTCATTTTTGCGCGCATGTATGTGATCATGCATTGTTGTTTGGAATGGATAGATCAAAGTACTGCTTCATTTTTGCATCCATGTTGCACCTCAGATTTTTTCTCATTTGAATGAATATGAAAGACTTTTCAATTAGTTCTTGATTACCATATCTAATCATCATAGCCTTCTTCTACAGTTTATCTTCAAAACTTCTTTGATGAATTGGTGAGTTGTGTGGAATTGCAAGATTGATGGAATCAATCTCGTTTTCCTTAGTATAAGTTAGCAGTTGTATTGGTCTATATAAGAACTTATGGCCTCACTGAAAGTATAGTCTTAAATAGAGTAAAAGGACGGACTAGGATTTGTATAGCTGACCTCAATTAATTGGAAAAAAAGCTACGATGATGATGATTGATCTTTATGGAGAATATAAATTCTAGTTTCTATTAAGGGTGCAGTTTCGATAAGGTTGCAACCTTAAACATTCCAATTAAGGTGGACCTTAAAATTTTATCATAACATGTAATTTTGTTGTAAAAAATTCTTAGTATTATCTTAAATTCTATTTTCATACCTAATTATAAAAATTTAAATCCCAAAAATGGTCAAAATCAAAGTAGAACTATAAATAGATGAAAGTCTTAAAAATGAACGGTCTAGATAATTGTTGCAAGATGCACTATTTCCGGGACTCAAAAACTTTTTTTTTTATTCATATTCATATATCTCGATGTCGAGATGATCGACTAGAGTATTTTTTTAACATTAAAACAATATTTTCGATATATTATTGAGGTGCATCTATGATTTTACATTTTAAGGTTGCAATCATATATAAACTTTTCCCTTCTATTAATAATTATAAGAATTTACCTAAGAGTAGAAGGTGTTTTCATGAAAAGAAATATCAATTGCTCCCTTTATAACTGCATTGGTGCTTCGCGTTATTTTATGTATTTTGATGTAAAAGATCCTTGAAGTATTGCTTCTAGATATGGTTATCGATACTATATATCATTAAAAAATATTATTATCTTAATATAATAATATCATATTGCATGAATATTACAATATTGTGTAATTTTTATTATAACATTGTATTAATATTAATGTTAGGATATTACATTATTATATATTATTGTAATAATGATATTATTATATGTATGATGCAGGAGGCGGATAAAAGCCCTAAGCATTCCTACTCTTTTAAAAAACCATATCAAATGAATTTTCCACTACTGTGAATGTTATTGGAATGGAAAAAGTCAACCTTATACTGTATAAGTATGGTAGACCTTAGAAACCCATAAGGAAAGTATGTTTCGTCATTAAAAAATTCTCCAAAAGATTATCTCAACCTTGATATACATGGATATAAATGAAAAAATAAATCTCAAGTATTAAAAGAAGTACATCTTGTCCACACCGTCCATTGTTAAGGTGTTAGAGTATTCATAGTTCTACTATATTTGCATCATTTTTTGAGCTTTCAATTTTATAATTGAGGTCAAAATAGATTTTTAGGCGATGACAAGAGTTTTGATACTGCAAATACATATTTTAACAAGATTTTTTGGTGCACCTGATTGTTTAGGATTGACACCTTACACAAACCTCACCCTATTGAAATATACCGCCATTTGCATCTATCTCCATGGTATAAAACATGATATGGAATTTTTCCCTTAAGAGTGTCTCATCTAGCGTAAACAATGGCTCACACCTATTGAAGAAACCATGAAAGCATTGACTGAAGGCCAGAAATGTTGAAACTGCTCAATGTTAATTTGAATGAATCCTATAGTAGGAAAGGAGTTGGGGTCGTGGTGGTAGCATCCCCACATCTAGTTACTGTTTGGTGTGTGTAGCCATTAAAGGCCTTATGAATGCTTGTAAAATAAAAATATATAGTGGAACATGAATTCAGTGGGGGTGTGGTCCCTTGTAGACCATACTAAGCAAACGATGTTTTTGCTGATATTAGATTGTGCTTATATGCTCGATCGGTTTGGTTGGGAAAAACCATATTACCTGGGCTAAAAGAAACAAATTGATGATGGTTATATGGGTTATCCCTTGATGAGGTTGGAGTATATCCAAATGAGTGAGCCAAGGGACTGTGTGACCCTTGTGTGTGATGGAAGCCCTCAGGTACGGGGCCAAAACATCACCATTTGTACCCACACGGCATGCACTACGATACTCATTTTTTGAAAAGCGTATCACCATTCAAGGTGAAACGTGTGCATGTGCGAGAGAAACCCTGTGTGCACCATCGAGCTATGGATTGCATCTGGTCAGGATGACCTTATGTTTCGTCTCCGTTGGGGTTGGGGGGGGGGACCTAAAATCCATATACTGGGACTATGACCCCTTGCCCGTTGGCTAGACTTTGGTTGCTCACTAATGATCCACTGCATAGATTGTGGGTCATGAGCAATGTTGGGCCGGTTTGAGAAAGCATGTATGGTTCGTAGTTCGCGGTTGGACATGAAATGCCCTAGTAGATATTTTTCTATATCATGTGGATCATATTGCATCAAGGTTTTAATTTTATTTTATTTTAATTATATTTTATTTTAGAATTTTTTTTCAATTTTTTTAAAACTCTGGATATTTTATTTATCAAATTTGGATTTATAAAAACAGATATATTAACTTTATAATGATTTAATTTTTCAAATAATAAATTTGTATATATCTAAAAATATGAAAAATGACATAATTGCATGGGAGGCTTAATAGGTCTTTTAGTCCCACCATTGCATATGGGTGGCACACCCCACCTAAAAAAGCCTTCTATTTTGTGGAGATCAAGCTCTAAAGCGAGAGAAAAGTTTGTGTTTTTTTAAGTATGCTTGTGCCTTGAGGAAATTTTGAATGATAGTTTGGTATGTATGAGAAGGCCTATGCATAAAATAAAAAATGATAATAGTATGATGTATTAATTTCTTATTTAAATTAATTAATAGCAAAATGGTTTAGGAAGTGGGGGACAATGGTTTAGCACCTTCCATAGGATGTTGATGGCTCATCTATAGAATGGAGAACTCATATCTCTCACCCTACAAGTCACCCAAGATCAATGGTACATATTCATTATCATGTGAGTAACAAGTCAATGAAAACCCTAAGAAACCCTAAACTTATTCCAGCACTATAAAAAGGGATTGTCTCTACCCAAAATCTCTACACATTATCTTTCTATTTCTCTATCTCTTAACCTACCAAAGGGGGTACGCCCCACTTAGAATATCTCTCTCTCTCTCTTCTTAGAAACCTTCTCTCTTTCTTGAAAGGCCAAGGGGGGCATGCCCCACTCACTCTCATCCTATGGTTTTCTGTCATGGTCTCTCTCATGGTGTCTCTCATCTTCTCTCATGATATCTCATTTTTCTTTGGGGTTTTAGACTATATGATTGTGGTAGAAAGAAAAACATTTCTCTCAAACTAGGTTGCTAAGAGGATTTATCTAGGGTTTGAGTTTGTGATAAAAAATAATTTATATTTCACGAGTGTGGCTTATCCAAACTTGCTTTCCTGATTGAGATTGAAGGTTGACCATTAGATCCGGCGCCATTGAAAGGTGGTGACTCGGTATGAAATGTAAGAAGCCCGGTTGAGATAATCTCCAGCACCCTCTTTTTTTCCTTCCATATTTATTTGTTATATATTTTATTTTCAAGCATAGGTTATGTCTTTTCTTTGTTTATGAATAGTGTGGTTGTGAGTGGCTTTAAATTCTTGAGATCTTAATTTATTCTTTTCTTTATTTTATTTGAAGTTGTTATATTGTAAAACGACTTCTTATAAGTGATCTTGACCGTGAAGAAAAGAAAAAGAATTAAAAAGAAAAAAATATTATTGTATACTCCGACTAGATCACACGGGGCCTTCTTTAAGTTACTACATCATGGTATCCATTGCTATCACTAACACCCCCAATTAACACCTTCAAAATGTAACTCTCTAATCTATTGAAAAAACGGATCGGGTCTGTCTTTCCCACTAAATTTCCCAAACAAATGTATGCTATCATTTCGGAATCGATCACCCAGAGCTTGTGTAAAGATTGGGGGACCTCCATATATGACTTCTTTAATGGCCCATGTATAGTTCATCACAACCTCTTTAACCCTTCATGCCCTACATGTAAGACAATGTGGCCCCTGGGCTAAATTCAGGCTGGTCATTTAGGTGAGCTTGATTCTTCCTTCCACCCAGTGGCTTTGAGAGACGGGTTGACCAACTCTCCCCTTCAACCTCGTCATCCAAATCAAAATATGTCGCACCAACGTTATAACAATGCACATTTGTTGCACACAATCACATGTGCTCTCTCTCACTTTTCACAAACTAGATTGTAAAACTCTTGATATTGTAAATTCAATAAATTGTTTATGACTATTGTTCCTTTTGAAATACAAACTTTATTTCAACCTATTTTGCATGGGCATTGTATTGGATCCAGTGTTCGTAAAATCGAATCGGAACGGTTAACCGGACATGAAGCCGGAAATGGTTTAATTGGCCTAACCGGTAAACTGGCCAATTCAATCTTTCTAATTAGTTAAGTTTCAGGTGGTCAACAAATTGTTGAAAAAAATAAAAAGATAAAAAAAAAATCTACTAAAATATGAAAAGCATAGAAAGAATGATTAAAACAAAACACATTCAAATGAAGTCGAAAATTAATGAAAAAAAATGGATTTCAAATAATTGATTTGTGCCTAGGGGTAGGTTTAAATTTTTTTAAAAAGATGGGAAATATAAAAGTGAGTATTAATCACCAAAACAATTTATAATCTTTACTATAATGTAAATAATATAAAAAATGTATAACAAACCAAATTTTTTTTTTTAATATATATTTAATATACATTTTTTTAAAATATTATTTTTTAAATACCGGCCGATCACTAAAACC